GAGTCAGCTCGGCTTACTAATTTTTAGGGGGCTGTGAAACCAGTTTGGAGTTCCATGGTAAGCCTCGCTTGCTGTTCTGACTGGTCCTGCTACTGAAGGCCTTGAGCCTCAACCCTGCTGAGAAAAGCAGTGCTAGCTGTGCCCGGGATAGCGTAGTGTTATCAGTTGGTAGAGCGGAGCCTGTTCCCGATTTAGGGACGGGTTCAAGAACCATGGAGCCTCCTGACCCTTGGGCAGACTACCTTCGGCGTCGAGGAAGCTTTCAGGTCGACGAGAGTTTTCGTGGCCGTGGCGCAGGGCGTCACGAAGATGTTCGCAGTGAGCTTGGGCGGCCTGGGGTCGCGACTATGTTTCCTTCGGAAAGTTCGTCTTCAAGAGACTTCGGAATGTTTGGGGCCAGGCAGTGGCTGAATGGTCAAATGCCGGTTCAGGTGCCTGGGACGTTCAACGGGGCGCCGATCTTCGGAGGTCCTCCAATAGGCCCTCCACCTGGTGTCCATCTGGGATCTTCTCAAGGAAGAAATCTTCAGTCGGGCCCACCTACCTTTTTGGCTACGGGAGCTCCTTTAGGGACTCATGGGGCCTCTGCTGCGAATGTCCCACCGAGAGGCGGCTACTTCGGACCAGGAGTCTTCGGCCAGGTTCCACCGAGCTCTACGGCTTTCGCGTCGACCACTCCACCAGCGGCGCCAAGGTCGAGTGTGCCTGGAGGTAAGAATGGAGGTGTTCCACCAATGATGAGCCCAGGATCGAATTTCAGCCCGGTCATCGACACAGCGGCAGGGGCTGCTGCTTCGCTGGATCCCCAGCCATGTGGGGCTGCGCCGAACATCAAGGTCGACAGCGCTTTCGAGGTGCTCGGCATGCAGTCTCCGTCGTCTTCACAGAGGCCGGCGGACCAGGCGGAGCGCTTCATCGCGGCCTTGACGGGAGAAAAGCGGAGCATCCCTACGTGGCAAGGACAACCGGGCTCGCTGAGGACATGGCTTAAGTTGCTTGCCCACTGGGAAACTGAGACTTCGGTTCCTCGGGAGAAGTGGGGTATCCGGCTGTACCAAAGTTTCCAGGAGTCTTCGGAGCCTCGGAAGATTGCTGATCAAGTTCCACTTTCGGATGTTCTTTCTGCAAGGGGCTATGGGTTAATACTTTCGGCGTTAATGACCAAATACAAGCCATACCTTGATGTTGCAGCTCCAGCTTCCATTGACCGCTTCTTTTATGCCGGAGAACGTCAAAAAGGCCAAACGTTTGCGGCTTACATTGCCGGCAAGGAGGTGTCGCGTCAGGAGCTGGAAACTCACTTGCAGGAGAGCATTCCCGACAGAGTGGCGGCCAGGATTCTTATGAGACAGGCCCTCCTCACGGACTATCAGAGGGAAATGATGGCCCTGAAGGATGCCAACCAGTTGTTTTCCTGGAGCCAGGTGATCGCAATGCTGAGGCCCCTCGACCGTCCCGAGCTCATCGCGCAGGCGGCCACTGCAGAGCTTGGGGCAACGGCAAGCAAGCACTATCCAGTGCTTGCTCTCACTGGAGACACAGCCGAGGAGGAGCAGGCCAATGAAGAAGATGAGTTTTGGGAAGGAGAAGAGGAGGAAGACTTGGCCTCGGACGAAGAGGAGATGACGTTCGAGGACCGCGAGTACGACGAACACGAGGCTTTGTACATCCACGCGTACCACAGTGCTTACAGCGATGTCCGACGGGACCTACAGAACAGAAAGAAGGAAAGAGGTTTCGTGCGACATCCTCGCCAGCGCGGAGAGTCACGTGGCAAGGGCAAAGGCTCTCGGAAAGGCTCGCGGGGTTCTTTCTCTTCAAGGCCGGGTCCGTCGAGGTTCAACAAGATGATCAAAGGCAACGCCGATGAGCTCATGAGCAGGACCCGATGCTTCAACTGTAAGGAGTTGGGGCATTACGCCCGTGACTGCCCTTTAAAGGGCGGAGGGAAGTCTTCGCAGAAAGGTGGGTCGCCAGGCAAGCAAGTCAACTTCGTGGTGTGCCGAGGCGGCGTGGACCAGACCATCACCCATGCCTATGTCTTGGCACTCCCTCTGCTGTATGCCACCGTCAAGGTCAAAGCCCACGAAGCACTGGTGGACACAGCGGCGGAAGATGCAGTGGTTGGCGATCGAGCTTTTGAGGCCATGCGAGCCGAGTTGGCGACCTTGGGTCTCCAACCTGTATGG